CATAGATCCAGGACTACCAAAATGCCACACCATAAGTGACCCTACTCCACTGCACCGTGAGTGCTGTCCTGTGGCCTGTAATTCTTCATTCCCAGAAACCTTTGTACCTGTGGAGGGCCAGGACTCCTTGGTCCTAACACAGAGGGATCCAAAGTCCAGAAGTGAAAAACAAAAGTTGAGCATGAGCAAACTCAACACTAGGTCAGGACTTACTAAACTTGGTTTTAGAGAAACAGAAGTTGGTTTAGAAGAATAGAGATGCATTTGCTGGTGTCTTGAGACCTTACTTTACAAATATGTTTGCTTTTGACTAGGCTTATTACCAAACCCAAGATTGGAGGTTGCTTTGGCTCCCCATAAATGGCAAAGGATGCTTCCCTTGGGTGCAGAGGAAGGCCTATCTTACTAGCTCCCGCCTGATTGTTTAGATTTAACTACTCCCAGGTCCAGAGCAAGACAGCTTGGGGTAAATTATTTGATTAGAAGCAGTCTTGTATAGAATTCTTCCATGGTGAATCAGGTATTCCTAGGTGCATGAGGAGTGATGGCTGGGGAGATAGTTCTATGCCCAGGACATGTCTGTATTCCAGTGAGGACACATGCTCACTCCCACCCATGATGGAAGACTCAGGGTCAACAACCTGCTGTGGATGGTTGACTGGTGCCTCAGAAGCTGCCACTCTCAGGGCTCAAGGTTAGGTTCAGCTGCTTGCAAGTCAGGCACATGCTGTAGTCCTGTTGGTAGTTGCTGCTACCACCGGCTTATTAACAGGGTATTTCTGTATAACAAGAGACACAAAATATCATTTTCATTTTGTGAATTTATATATGATAATTTCTGTATCATGATCTTGCATTTCTTGTGTGATGACAAAAGTAAGTTTAGGGGATGGGGTAAGGGGCAGGTGGGCCACCCAGTGTGACTCTGTGGCTCTGTGACTGCTGCTCAGTTGGAGGTGGGCAGAAGTACTCCCGACAGAGTACCATTGTCATTAGATGCCTATGACTCTAGGACAAGCCCCTTTGTACTCCAGCACTCATTTCCAGGAAGCACCTCACCTACATTGAAGAAAGAATTCATCTGCACATCTCAGTTGTAGAATGAGCCCAAAAATAGGGATTTAGGAAAACACAAGCAAAGACATGAAGGGAAAAAGCATGTGGCAAGTTTGAGGGTCAGCAGATGGCTACCTTGCAATATCCACAGAGAGCTGGGACTCAAAGCCAGGAGTGGATGCCCTGTGGTCGGTACCCTCGCCCTCTTGCCTGGTCCCGTGGATGCACTTAACTGTTGGTACCATGTCTGGCACCTGCAGCCCTCAGAGCCCAGACATCTCAGGAAGACCCCTTCCAATGATACAGATGTTTGATTTCTTATGGCAGACTGTGCTGTAGAGTGCTGTAATCACACAATCCCACCAAACAACACTCCATTTTTTTTTTCATGACATTTCCTGTCCCTTTCTTAGAAATCTGCACAGCATTCTCCACTGCCCTATGAATCCATTGAAATAAGTCTCAATGGCCTGGTGGTTTCCCTGTCCCGGGAGTTAAGTGGATCAGAATTATGAGTTTGATATTGACTTAACTTCATCCTTTGTGAGAGATATGAAAAGAAATGCTATGCTTTGTGTTGAAACATTAGCATTTCACAATTTGTGGCTCTGATCAAGAAAGAAATATCCTGCACCTGACGGTCCAAATTGCCCCTTTGGAAGTCTGAGCTTTTGAGTAAGGGCACGGTAACCAATCTCCATGTGTTCTTTCCATGTTATCTCTTACATTTTTAAAATATATATAAGTACGTGCTTTTAAAACAAAATTTATTTGACTAGTAAAAATACACGAGTGCCTACAGTAGCCAAGGCTTGGCCAGGACTTGGACTGGGATTAGGAGCTGGGAATTCAATCCATATCTCCCTGATGGGTGGCAGGAACTCTGACTGGAGCCTTCAGTGCTGCATCCCAGGGTCTACAGGGGTAGAAAGCTAGAGTCAGGTGTGAACCCTGGGATGGGATGTAGGCATCTCAACCCATGTCCTACCCTCTAGGGAACACACCCCACCTCTTACCTCACTTTCATCATTTAATCTGGTGAGGCTTCTTATGTTTAATACTGTGTTTATGTTAAATGCTGTTTCTTAAGGTGGACTTAAATTTCTTAAGGAATACTAAGCCTTTTAAGAATAAAGACCTTCACGAGCATAAAGAACAAGAGAATCTCATCTGCCAACATTGCATGCTTTACTGTGGGTTGCACATTGGGCTGGGCACTTCACATCCTTCTTTCATCTATGTACTTGTTCACGCTGCCCACAAGTGTTGAGACCTACTTCAGGACAGGTGTATGACCTGGTGTCAGGATGCCAAGGCATACAGGTAATGTTAGACAGTGGTAGATGTGAGGAGATTTCGAAAAGTTGGTTGAAAGATGGAATTAGTACAAAAAAAGAAAAATCACAACCATTGGACAAAAGATCTTCCTCTCTGTGTCTCCTCCTCTCTGTATAATAAACTGACTTTTTAAAAACTATTTCTCCATGAAGGAGTTTTAATGTCTCATTCCACTTGATATGAAGTTCTCACACAACACGCAGTTGCTGGGAAAGCTCTCTTGTAGCACCGAAAATTTATGTCTGTGCCAATACCACAGTTTTTAGGGCTTCAGCCACACTACTGGGCTTTCTCTGGAAACTTCCTGCTTGACCTTGGGACACCTGAGTGAGGTTCTTCCCTTTGGCACTGGTGGTCCTCCTAGGACCTCCCACCCCTTTTCTTTTTAAAAGGTTTATTTATTTTTATTGGATAGGCAAGTTTATAGAGAGAAAGAGAGGCAGGGAAAGATTCGTCATCCATTGGTTCTCTCCCCAAATGGCTACAATGACCAGAGCTAAACTTAGCCGAAGCCAAAGGCAATAGAGGATGGCCCAAAACCTTGGGACCCTGTACTTGCATGGGAGACCTGGAAGAGGTTCCAGGTTCTGGCCTTTGGATCGGCTTATCTCTGTCCCCAGAGGCCGCCTGGGGAGTGAATCAGCAAATGGAAGCTCTTCCTCTCTGTCTCTCCTGTCTGTATATCTAGCTTTCCAATAAAAATAAAATAAATCTTTAAACAGATCCAAGGCCATCAGCCAGGAGCTTCTTCCAGGTCTCCCGTGCTGGTGCAGGATCCCAAGGCCCTGGGACATCCTCTGCTGTTTTCCCAGGCTCTAAGCAGGGAGACAGGAATCGGTGCTGTTTGGGGATATCAGCGCTTACAGGAGGAGGATTCGTTGAATCATCACGCCGGCTCATCCCCACTTTCCATCCCATTCCCCTTCTCTCCTCTCTGGGTTTCTCGGCCAGCTCCTCCAGGAAAAACCACAACTGCTTTCAGGTCCTGCCATGATTCTTCCGTTCCCTTACATCAGGGATAGATCCTTGGCCATGTATTCTTCCCTGCTGAGCAAACGGGCAGGTGCAGAGTGAGACATGCAGGTGGTGCCATGTACTATGGGGCAGCAGTGAGAGCTTCTCTAATCACGGTAAGGGAGGTGCAGGTGTATTGTGTTCTTTGTGGACCATTGATAAGATGCAGCACTGGTGTCACTACCTTCAGAATCTGAAGCCAGGCTGCACCTTTGGGCTTGCTGCTGCTGCGCAAGGTTCTCCTGGGTGTTTATTGTGTGACCTCAGCTTGTTGTGTGGTTCTGGGCCTGATATATCACCTCCACCAGGAAGTCTTGCAGGACCTCAGCTTTCAAGACCTGGGATTGCCCACAGGCTTTAGCGATGTAGGCAGTCAGCCTGCATTCTTATTATTGTCTACCACTTTTCACCTGACCCTTGGTTGGCCGCATCTGCTAAAAGGGCTCCGAGCTTCTGCAGGGCAAAAGGTCTGTGGGTGCAGTGGTTGACTTTCTTGGAGCGGCAAGAGCCAAGCAAGAAAGCATTCGGAGCGCTGCCCTCTGTACGCCTGAGCCACAGGAGGTGCCATTCCAGGGCTGGGGAGGTGAGTACCTGGGAACCAGCACACACCTAGCACAGCAGAGGAAGGGAGCCTGGAGCCCAGCCACCACACAGTGGAGCCACGTACTTGGCCTGGGCGCACCTTACAACTTGGCTGCTATTCTGGAAACCAAAAACAGAGAGGGTGGGAGGGAGGGTGACCTGACAGCGACCACCAGCCAACCCCTACATCCCCTCCACCTCCCATGGCCTTCTGTTCTTTCCCTCTTCTCCCTGCGCACCCCACCCGGGAAAGCCCCAACGCCCACGGGAGTGCTGGGAGTCCCGCCTTACAGCTACTGCGCGCATGGCCCCGGTGGCGCTGGGGACTGCGGCTCCAGAGATCTCGGGCTTTGCGGGGCTTGCAGAGGTGGGGGGCGCAGAAGAGGGCGGGGTGCTGCCCTGGCCTCCCACCGCGACGGGGCGGGACAATGGGGCCCCACCCCGACGAGGATGGGCGGAGGCAGAAAGGGAGGCGGCATGCGCTCGGCCCGCGGCGCGCTCGCCCGCCTGTGCTGCGGGGCTGAGGTTGGAGCGGACGGGAGGGGCGCGGGTGGGAGCGCGGAGGAGGGAGGAGGAGGAGGCGGCGGCGGCGCGTGTCGCGGGCGGGCGGGCGGCTGGCACCAGGCTTGTAAATAAACTGCGATGCTGTCTCGGGCTCGCCGGCCCGGGTGCCGCCGCCGCCCGGGAGCGCAGGTGCCAGGCTCCCACCGCCGCGCGTCCTAGCGCTTCCGAACGAGCCTCGCGCGCCCTCGCCAGCAACCCGCAGCCCTCAGCCCGCGCCCCTGAGGGTCCCGCGGCTGACCCGCGCGGGATGTGACCCCGTAGCCCTTCCGCCCGGCCGCCCCTGCCCCCCGGGGGGCGCCTGCCTGTGCCTGCTTTGGGGGCGGCGGGGAGAGGCGCGCGGATCATGGCATTGGAGTTCCCGGGCTTGCAGCAGCCTCCGCCGCCTCGTCCACGCACCCCGGGTGCCCCTTCTTCCCGCAGCAGCAGCGGAAACGGCCAAACAGCCGGCGGGGGCGAGGCAGATGGGACTCAAGGCTCGCAGGGCGGCGGGGGCGGCTGGCGGCGGCGGCGACGGGGGCGGCGGAGGCGGCGGGGCCGCTAACCCCACTGGAGGGGACACGGCGGCGGCGGCCGGCGACGAGGAACGGAAAGTGGGGCTGGCGCCGGGCGACGCGGAGCAAGTCACCTTGGCGCTGGGGGCCGGGGCCGACAAAGACGGGACCCTACTGCTGGAGGGCGGCGGCCGCGACGAGGGGCTGCGGAGGACCCAGCAGGGCATCGGGCTCCTGGCCAAGAGCCCGCTGAGCCGCCCGGTCAAGAGGAACAACGCCAAGTGCCGGCGCATCCAAACTTTGATCTACGACGCCCTGGAGAGACCGCGGGGCTGGGCGCTGCTTTACCACGCGCTTGTGTGAGTACCGGGCCGTGGGACTTCGTGGCCGCGAGGTTGGGGTTCCGGGTGGGGCTGGAGCTGAGGCGTCTCTTGGCTACGAAGCCAGGAGCCGCGTCGGGCTGGATGCGAGAGCGGGCGAATAGCCCTGGGCGCGCGCTTTGGTGCTGAGCGTCGTTGCAAGCTCTCCCGACGCTGGACCGCGGGGAAACGGGCTGCCAGCTGCCTGGGCGGGGGGCGACGTGGCGCGCGGCGCGCGTTTGTGGTAACCTCTCAGGGTGTTAGCACTGAGGCGGAAGAGAATGATGCGTTTTTTCCTCTAATGTGGCGTTGGACAGGACTGGGGCTGAGGGGGGTCTTCCCGGAACGCGGGCTTTCTGCCTGGGCTGGCCACCTTCTGATGGGCTCGCTGAGTTGAAATGAAGCTCCCTAGAGTTGGGGGCGGGAGTGGTGCGCAAACCGTAGTGCGTGTGTAGGTGTGCCTGTGTGTGAGAATCCATGTGCGTGCGAGTGTGCACATTGCTTGCTTGTTCAGTGCTTCCTGGAGCTTCATACTAACGTGGAGAAGAACCACTGGCTGGAGGCTAGGGCTGGAGGAAGTGTACAGCCTTGGGTTCTTCCAGGGGAGTGTGTGTGTCAGCCTTGGCTGAGGGACTGGACCTCGACAGGGCCAGAAGATGGGGCAGCTGGGGCTGATCTTGGCTGATGAGTCCCCAGGATTTGGGATCCCTTGGCTTCAGTTGCTGCCCCCTGTTTTGATCTGGCCGAAGTTCACCTTCAAGCGCCTGGAAAGAATCTTGCTAATCTGGATGGAAATGCAAGAGCAGAGGGAATGTAGCGCTCCCATCTGCACCTGACACCGAGGAGGATCAGAGAGGGAAGGTGGTTGTGGGGCCTCAGCAGCCAGAGCTGGCAATCCTGGCGTCCAGCAGCCTTCTCCTGGGGGCTGTCAGGGTTGTCTCCTCCTGGCTGTGGCTTAGCCATCCTGACGACTACTTCATAGGGACCGTTATCAGGGATGGGTCTTGACCTTCACACCCTCCCCACCTGTGTCTTCAGTATCGGATTTTCCTCTGGGCCTGCTCCAATTGAGGGATGATTGATGTAATTTTAGAGGCTGGGGAAACCGTGGAGTTCTTATTTTCCTCGGCTGCAAGTGCGTTTCTTGATTTGGCCACCAGGTGGGGGCGTGAACGCAGGACCTTAGCCTTAGCAACAGGTTTCCTCACTGAGGTTACCCAAACCTGCAGAGGGTGCCTCCCTAGAAACCGAAGCACCCGGCAGAAGGTGCGCAATAGAGAGCATTCCGCTGTGAGCGCAGATTCTGAGTGACCTAGCCTTTGGCGTGCATGTGGAAGTACGTCTGCGTTTGTTGGCCAATTTTGGCAGTGATCTGGTTGGGGAGGGTGTAGCAGTTACTACCTTGCGCTTGGTCTCTTTGGTGATAAGAGGAATTAAAATGGAACGCATATCTCTAGAGATACTGAAGTGAACTGCGTCTTAGAATATGTACCAGTGAAAATTAAGATCCGATATGCCATTGAGTGCACACAAGCATACACGGACTCACACGCCCTTTTTGATGTAAAGAGTGTTGTGGGGTCCCGCTGGGTCCCTTCTTCCTTCAGTTATTGCCTTTCTCTCTCTGTGGGTGAGCGATAACCAAGGCCTGTTACTGACAGTCTTAGTTCTTGCTTACTCCTGAGTGACTCCATGACCCGGCAGCAACACTGTGGCCTCAGGTTCCCAGCAAACAGCCAAGAAAACATAAGGCCTTGTGACAGCAAGGGATTCCCAATCCCCAGCCAAGCATTTTCACCCCTAGAACCATGGTCTGCATCTTACATAGGAAGAGGCTCCCAGTGACAGTCGTTCAGGAGCTCACAGCCGAAGTTCTTCAGCTTGCATTGAAGGGCCTGAATCTTTGTCAGTAATTGGATGTGGAATGTCTTTGTGCATGTCACTGGGCACCCCTTTTTTCACGGGTCTCATTGTAGTGCCTCTGCTTCACCTCCCTGGCTTATGATTGATAAATGATAGGAAGAGACTATTTGCAATCAAAGGAGGAGCCGGTTAGAACCCATGAAACAAGTGTCGGGCAAGTGTGGAATGCGCTGGCCTGTTGTGGATTTAGATGAATTGGGGGTTGTGCAGGGAAACCCACATTGGTTTGGGTTTCAGCTGCTAGTACCCAGCACTTAAGTTTAGAAAGTGAATGTGTCCTACGCCTTTCCCCCAGCTTAGGAGGATGTCCAATCAAGTGCATGAAATTGTACCTTTCATTGATGATTTGCGGTTTTTCAAGGCATTGAGATTCATGCTCTCAGCATCCATTTAACCTGTTGTAGGCTGTGGTTAATGGCAGAAGGGAGCCAGAAGATTGGTCTGCTCATGAACTCAGTCTGGTGTATGATTTTCCTTTTTTTTTTAATAAACCAGATCCTAAAGATGAGATTTTTTGCTAAAGGTAGAATACAGTGAATGTGGAGGTAAGTCCCCATCCTGCTTTGTTTACAGTAAACACTCATGCCCTGGCTCCTCCCCCTGCAGCCTGCCCCCAATTCTCGGAGTCACCATCTCTAGGAAATCTCCGTGTTCCCCCAAGCTGGGCTAGGTGGCTTCTGCAGCCTCCCCAGCCATAGTATTTTGCACTGTGCCCCAGTTGGATTTGTTTACTTCTCGGCCCCACCAAACGAAAAGCTACTTTGAGGGGTGGTGTGGTTCCTTGGCATCTCTAATCCCCAGTGGGCTGCGAAGCCTGTGGTAAGTATCAAGTAAGTGTCTGCTGAATGGATGAGTGAAAGAATGCTCTGGATATGCTGGTTAATCAGACTGTTAATCAGAATTCCTGTCGTCACAACAATAACCATAAGTAGCCAAGATCAGCATGATGAAAATGTTCTCCCTTTTAAGTCTTACATTGTGGGTAGAGTTTTAATTCCAATGAGACCTATCTTATCTCTTTATCCTTGTGGCTCAAAGCAATTCTAGTGTGCTCGACTTGGAATGCATATCTGCACTTGGCTTTGAGTCTCCATGATTTTTTCACAAGACGACTTGTGGACAACCTGTGATGGGAGCTGAGTGGGAATGGAGAGGAGGGAAAGAACCGATGGCAATACCCTGGTATGTGGTGGATTTTAGGCTTAGGGAAGATAGTATGTAGGTATATAAAATAGCCCAATTTCAGCACTTAGATTCATTATCTAATTCTGAATAGGAATCTCCTTAAAGACCTTGCATATCAGGTGCCATGATTATTGGGACAGTGGGAGCTCCCCATTTCCAGCTTGCCAGTGAAGTGATGCTGGCTTATGTTGGCACTGTGGCTGGCTTAGCACTGATGGCCCTGGAGTTGGTCTGTCTAGAGCAGCTGGGTGTGATTGCTCATGCTCTTGCTGACCCACCAAGGGGGAAAGATGGCAAGAAATGCCCGTTAATCCTGTTTTGAGGTGGGCTAGCCCCGAGGACATCTGGATGGCTGAACTGAATGATGAGACATTAGGACCAAACGGCTGTCCTGGGATGAAGAGGTTTTTGCCTGGGTGATGTGGCTGGGAGGATCTAAAGATCGCAAAGTGGGGGAGAGGTGATGAACCCCTATTTCATCAGTGATTAAGTCAAAGTTTGAGGTGGAAGAAAAGTGGGTTTCCAAGCCTGTTTTACCCCTTTCGGCTGAGATGGTCTTAGACTAGTTGCTCTGTCGCTTTGTTTCTTCTGAAAATGTTGTCAGCTGATTGCATGCTTCTGGGAAGCAGCAAGCACCTCACAGAGGAAATGCTCAGTCGCAGGCAGTTGTTGGTGTTAGGAAAGTTATTCAGTCACCAGATTTCTCGAGTGCTTTCTCTGGGCCATTCTAGATATCAAAGATGCAGCAGTAAACAAAGCAATCCAGCTGCTGCTGGTGGAACCTGTGTCCTAGCAACAAGATGTAAGCAGGAATCTCAGGATTTGGTCATCTGGTCCACCCACCCCCCCAACTTCGTCCAGGCAGCAGAATGAGTCCCTTTGTAAATGCCTCAGTGGGTCCTGCCATCTGATTTATTACCAAAGGAACACTGGATTGTTTTCCTAGATGAAGCAGGTTTCGTTTCTCTATTTTGCCCATACTGCTGCTTCTCTCGTTTCTCTTGGTTTTTGGCCTTTCCAAACCAGGCTACCCTAAACTTTCCTCATCCCACTGAGCTCCCTCTATATTTCCTTCACACAGTGTCAGGGTTTTTAAGAAGTTGTTACTTATTCTGTGACAAAAGCAAGGTCATTTGGGGTTACACCTGGGTTTAGTGCAGTTTTGATGGTTCCTTCAGAATAACCTGGAATGATCTGTTCAAGTTCCTTGAATATCAGTTTATTTCTTGATATAGATATGATCATGCTTGCTTCCCAGGTCATTTCGAAATGTAGTTGAAACAATGGGTATAGAAGCATCAGACCTGTCATTGCAGGAAATCGGCAGGCGTCTCCTCTTGCTCCCCTGTCCTAGTCTGCAACCTTCTAGCACCCATTGTGGTATCTATAAACACACCCTGCAAGATGAGTTCACTTCCTTTACTAATGTATCTTCAACTTCTGCCATCCTCCTGACTTTCCTCTTGATGAGATTTGTTTTTTTATAAAATTGCTTCTCTTCTTGCAAGTTGTGTGGAGGAGACACAAGAAAGGGATACAGATCTTCCATCCACTGGTTCACTTTCCAAAAGGCTACTGTGTCTGGTGTTGAACTAGGCCAAATCCAGGAGCTTCATCTAAGGCTCCCAGAGGCATTGCACGAGCCAAGCACTTGGCTATCCTTCGTTGCTTCTCCAAGGCAATTAGGAGGATGACATGAAGCAAGGCCCATAGGTATGCTGGCGTTGCAGGCTGCAGTTTTACCTACTGTGCTGTACCACTGGTCCCATGATATTTTCAAGCCAGTCAAACAGAATAAAGAAAGGGTGAGAGCAGATCTCTGGGTCAGATCCCATTGTGCACCAGATGGGATCACATCTGCCGTCCATTAGGGCTGCTGCAGAGGGTGGACA